TGACATCCAATGCATGGCGGCTATTTACAGACACCACTTTAGCTCCGCACTCCACCGCGCGTATCAGACGGTTGGTTAAAAATGGGCATTCTGTAGAAGGCCAGCTAACGCATTTCACGAAGCAAGTTATTGTTTAGCGGCGAACCTAACGCTCCTCCGGCTGGCCAGCTTTACGGAGCCCTTCCGTGTCATGCACGCGGTAGTGTGCGGAGCTAAACTGGTATTTATTATTTCTAGAACTTTGATAATTAGAATGAGCCTAAAACTCCACGACCAATATAATTGAAGCTCTTCAATTCCTTGGCTTGAAAGCTTTGATTTGATTTGGACTCCACCTTCTCTATCCCCAAGCGGGTACCTTACCCTTGCGAGCCCGCCGCCGGTCTTAGCGATCCTTTTCCTCTATGTGGACAGACCGGGCCTAGATGATTCAGCGACTAGGCGATGGCGGGTCGTCGAGATAGCTCGGCGATTCCGTTGGCCAGGAGTCAGTCAACTGCGGAGGAAGCCTTAGCTCCCCGCTGAACGCTCCACGCGCTTAAATACCCTGCGAGGCAGGAGGCGGAGAAAAGAGGATGACATCGTGAATGTGGAGTTCCAAACCAATAGTTCATGGGTAAGGTAGAACCACGATTTTTCTGTGCACGACTCCTTTAAAGGCATTGCTACTTACGGTGCTGTAGCGAGGGAAGAATTTCCTCTATAGCCCTCGCTTCTTTTGGTTCCTTTTTTGATGCTGCTGCTTAAAGGATCTATTTTCATATTTGACCTCCTCATTAGATATCCACTGATACCTATCTGCTATAGCCATCCGTTTCATTTAACTAAGCATGCTTGAAAGCCTACCTGTGGGACTCCTTACATAGGGATCCCTAAAATCACATCAGTATTTGATTAGTTTATATGATCGAAAATGCCTGATGACCATACAGAGAAATACTCTCGTTGCCCCAGTCGAGCTTTGCCGGCAATTTCTCCATGTCCTTTTCGATGCTGAATTCCTCTATGTCGTCTGAATTTTGGGTCCTTTCGTTGGTTCCACGACCTGAACTGATGATACTACATTGATAATGCATGCATTTTTCATTTACGCAAATTAGCGCTGCTTGATTTCTCACTTTATTCTCGCTGGTCAGAAAAAAGCGATTTTTGAAACTTTTGAGGTGTACGCAATCATTCTGACTTACAACAGAGTCAACCCTGCGTTGCGCAGTTTTCAACGGCCACGTTGCGCAGTTTCGCCCGATTAGACACGTTCTCTCGCGCGAACATTCACACTCGCATGCTCGAGCCGTCTGTGTCTCCGCCCATACAGCGTGCGTTGAGGATCTCTCAACGTACATGAAACGAAGTTATATAAGCTATACGAAGTTATTACGATAACTAAAGAGAACAAAGATACAAACCAAGGGACACGAAACAGCCCAACAATCTTGTGCCATTGTCCCACGTGTATGGACACAGTAAAGCCGGCCTGAGGTTACCTCCATGTGTTCGCAATACAATTCCCATGAGCCACACCAGGTATCATCGCCCCCCCCCATCCGCGCCAAAAAGTTGCCTCCCAACAGGCCAGCAAGCGGGTGCTGCAAGCTCTTTCACTCCGTAAATAATCAAAATTGCCTTAAAAACAGTGTTCACTTCAAATATGCATTTTCCATTTTCTTTTTCGGCTTGTTTGTTGGGCTGTTCAAGAAATGCGCAGTATTCAGCGCAAGCAAATTCACGGAAGTCATCCCAAAGGCAACGTTGGAAGTGAGAAGTGACCTGGCGTACGCCTACAGTTGCTCCGCTTAATTAACGCCATACCGTACCTCAATTTCTAAAAGCTAAGTTGCACACACCAGTAGCACTAAAAAATTCGAAGAATTGGTTATTTCCTGACGCAGCGAGAATAAAGTGAGAAATCAAGCAAGGCGGCCTCATTGCTGAAATGGAAAATGCATCGCATTATCATGTAGTACCATCAGTTCCAGGTTTTCGGTGGGAACCACGAAAGGACCCAAAATTCGGACGACATAGAGGAATTCAGCATCGAAAAGGACATGGAGAAAATTGCCGGCAAAGCTCGACTGGGGCAACGAGAGTATTTCTCTGTATGGTCATCAGGCATTTTCGATCATATAAACTAATCAAATACTAATGTGATTTTAGGAAACGCTATGTAAGGAGTCCCACAGGTAAGCTTTCATGGTTTTGGCCTAGTTAGAAATAAAACGGAATGGCCTAGCAGGCATTGAGTGCAGTGGACAATGCTAATGAGGAACCAAATAATGAAAGCCAGGTCCTTCTATGCGTAGGCAATCAACACCAAGAAACAAAGAGAAGGAGCGCTATAGAGGAAATTCTTCCCGTCGCTTACAGCAACCGTAAGTAAAAAATGTCTTCAAAAGGAATAATTCCACAGAAAAATCGTGGTTTCTTTCTCACATCCATTGTAAATTATAGTGGGAATCCTCTGTTTAATGAACTCCACGTTCATGATGTCATCCTTTTGCTCCCGCGCCGGCATTTAAGCGCGTGAGCCGTTAGCGGGCAGCTAAAGATCGCTCTCGCAAGTCTGACTGACTCCCTCGCTGGCCAGCGAATCGCTGAGGCTATCTCGACGACCCCCCGCCATCCGCCTACACCGCTGAATCATCAAGGCCCGGTCTGTCTACGTAGTAGGAAAAGGATCTGGGCCGCTAATGACCGCGGACTTCGCAACACAAAAGCTACCCCCCCCCCCCCCCCGCCCATAGAGATGGAGTAAGGGTGGAGCCACAATCAAATATCTCAAAGCTTTTGAGTCAAGAATTCAATAGCTTCCAATATACGGGTCGTAAGATAAAACGTCCATTCTATTAGGTCGGTCCATAATTTTTGAGAACCTTTGGTGTTTTTCGACTTAATTACTTATCTTATTTCTCTGATGTATTTATTCAGCACAGTATACATCACCATTATTACCAACATATAACCAATGCGAGGGTGGGTATTCAGTGTCTCTCTTGTAGAATTTCATAGAGTTCTGATCGAAGAAATATTGGATGTCGATTTTGACTTTATGGTGATTCAAGTGAGATTTCTTCTCCAGAAGGTGATTGAGAGAGGAGAGCGGATAGTCGTTCGTTGACGCAGGATTAGTGCTACAAGGCGGAGCTAAAAGAACTGACCGCCCGAGAGTCTCCAATTTTTTAGGAATTTTCTTAGCAAGGCGGGCTCGAAACGACCTCAGAAAAAATAGATTTTGTCTTCCTTTGCTTTCAAGTTGAAGGCGTTGCCATCAAGCTGTCAACGATTCTTCCCATCACTGACACTGGTATTAGTTGATGCCGGTCTTCAGCGCAAAGGCCCTCCCGTATTGCGCCAACGACTCAGGAAGCTCTCGCTGCCACTTTTCACGGCCCTTGCGTGCTCCGCCCGTTGAACGCGGAATGCTTCAAAACCACGCGCAAAACACACCACAACAAATTACAGCGCTAAGACTTTGAACACATTCCCCAGTTCTCTCCCAGGGTCCGAGTTGTATTTGTACTGGCAGAACTCCCGAATCATTGACGCAAAATCACTGGCGGCCTCAACGTGATTTGTTACACAACCCCGTCCCCGGGCTCAAGAACCTTCTTTTGCCAAAACAAAACAACGGGTACCGTCACTGAACAAAACAAGCTAACCGTCCCCACTATTTAAAATCAACTGCCGCCAATAGGAGGAAATTCATTATAGACGACGCAGTTCTCACGAAGCCGCTTCCCTTACGCTAAGGATAACTAACACACGGGAAAAGATTCCAGGCATACTCCTAAAGAGCCAAATGTGCTTACGATACATGCCTTCTGAACATTCGAAAGTCGAATCAAAAAACGAACAAGAACTTTCTTCAAAAACATGCCTGATTATTTATTATTTCTTGGAAGCTTGCGAATATTAGGTCGGTCCACAATTTTTTGAGAACCTTTGGTGTTTTTCGATTTATTACTTATCTTATTTCTCTGATCTACTTATCCAGCATAGTATACATCATTATTATTAACAACATATCGCCAATGCGAGGGTGGGTATTCAGTGCCTCTCTTGTGGACTTTCATAGAGTTCTGATCGAAGGAAAATTGTAGTCCCGAATCAGTTCTCAACCCAATCTGACATCATCAAGTTCCTGTTGGTTTCCCATAGTTCCTTCGGATGACCATCTATAATACTCATTGGTGATGTGGACTGGGTGCAATGTGCTAACAAATCCACGAGCCGCAGTAGATTTGCTCAAACGATTCGGGAGTTCTGACAGTACAAACCCAACTCCCTCTGAATTCGAACTTCCTGAGTCGTTGGCGCAATACGGGAGGGCCTTTGCGCTGAAGACCGGCATCAACTAATACCAGTGTCAGTGATGGGAAGAATCGTTGACAGCTTGATGGCAACGCCTTCAACTTGAAAGCAAAGGAAGACAAAATCTATTTTTCTCTGAGGTCGTTCGAGCCCGCCTTGCTAAGAAAATTCCTAAAAAATTGGAGACTCTCGGGCGGTCAGTTCTTTTAGCTCCGCCTTGTAGCACTAATCCTGCGTCAACGAACGACTATCCGCTCTCCTCTCTCAATCACCTTCTGGAGAAGAAATCTCACTTGAATCACCATAAAGTCAAAATCGACATCCAATATTTCTTCGATCAGAACTCTATGAAATTCTACAAGAGAGACACTGAATACCCACCCTCGCATTGGTTATATGTTGGTAATAATGGTGATGTATACTGTGCTGAATAAATACATCAGAGAAATAAGATAAGTAATTAAGTCGAAAAACACCAAAGGTTCTCAAAAATTATGGACCGACCTAATAGAATGAGTTTAAGACTTC